TTATATATATATATATATATATATATATATATATATATATATATATATATATATACATATATATATATATATATATATATATATATATATATACATATATATATATATATATATATATATATATATATATATATATATATATATATATATATGCATATATGGGTATATATATATATATATATATATATGTGTGTCTGTGTGTGTGCTTGTGTCTGTCTATACAGTATATATATATATATATATATATATATATATATATATATATATATATATATATATATATATGTATATATATATGCATATATATATATATATATATATATATATATATATATATATATATATATATATATATATATATATATGTATATATGTATATATGTATATATGTCTATATGTCTATATGTCTATATGTATATATGTATATATATATATATATATATATATATATATATATATATATATATATATATATATATATCGTAGGCCACCTTCAGTCGATGTTGATTATAACATTGTCTCTATCCGCTTCCGCATAAGTAGTGTCAATGCCTGGGGGAATGGGAGTGAGGAGCAAGCTGTTGCCCATACAGCAGCTCCCTCTCTCCATGCACCTTATAGATCCAAAGGAAAAGACCGGCAAAGACCGATACGGTTTGGCACCAGCGGCGTTGCAGGAGCTGCCAGAACGAGGTCGCAAGCGCCAACGAACTACTTTCGGGACTCCGGGTCCTGATTTTTGCTCAGGGTTGACTCCCGAAGTATTTTCATCTCATAGATGCCACACGACAGTGTTTTATATAAGATGGACTCCCATAGCCTTTGGCCATGCACAGACTGAACTTCAAGGCAGCAGTTGGTTTGTATTGGGTGAACTCCTATAGCCACTGTGGTATCTAGGTACGACTAGATCCAATCCGTGCATGTGCTCATGCGCAAGCGCGCGGGTGATGTGCGTGTGTATGAGTGCACACACATATCGCACACGCACAACCTGCGTGTATATATATATATATATATATATATATATATATATATATATATATATATATATATATATATATATATATATGTATATATGTATATATGTATATATATATATATATATATATATATATATATATATATATATATATATATATATATATGTATATATATGTGTGCGTGTGTGCATGTATACATACATACATACATACATATATATATATATAATATATATATATATATATATATATATATATATATATATATATATATATATATATATATATATATATACACATATATATATACATATATATACATATATACATATATATATATATATATATATATATATATATATATATATATATATATTTACATATACATGTATATGTATACATAGATATACATACGCATTTATACATATATGTACATATACATATATACACATACATATATATGCATATATGTATGTATATAATTATGTGTATATATATATATACATATGTATATATATATATATATATATATATATATATATATATATATATATATATATATATATATATATGTATATATATGTATATATATAATGTATATATATGTTTATATATATATATATATGTCTATATATGGGTGTGTATACATATATATGTATACACATATGTAAATATGTGTACACACATGTGTGTAAATATGCACATATTTGAATACATGTATATACATACATACATACATACATACATACATGTATATATATATATATATATATATATATATATATATATATATATATATATATATTATATATATATACACATATATATACATATATATACGTATATATATACATACATATACGTATATATATATATATATACGTATATATATATATATATATATATATATATATATATATATATATATATATATATATATGTACATATGTGTGTCTATATATAAACATACACAAATTTCTTACCATTATTTTTTTTCCTTCATTTCCCGCACGAAGGCCTGAGAGCACTTATCAGACCATGGCACAGCCGTTTGTGGGCGCGCGTTGGAACGAGACCGGTGTAAGAAAAAGTTGTAAATAAAATCTAGGGAAAGCTCTTTAGCAGTTCCGTGAAAGAGACGACTGAATAAAGAAGCCAAATGAAAATAATGGCAGATGAAATTGATGTCAGAAAGGCATAAAGGTAAGATTGCTGTGGGTTCTTTGCGTGTGAAAATTTTCATTGTCATGTTTAAATTGATAATTCCCTTTTATGACTCTAATTCCATCCTCCTTCTAACCACCCTTCATCTATCTTTCCCATCCCTTCTATCTCCATACTTTTTTTTTCATCGTTCCAGCCTCCTTCACATTTTCCTCAAGTTAGAGAAAGCCTTATGTGAGCATATAAAAGTACTCTACGCCCTTACGTGGCTCATTGATCCCTTGCATACATGACTTGGCACTATCCCTCCACCTCCACCCCTCCCCCGTCTCCATCTCCCCTCTCTCCCTCTTCTCTTTCCAACTTTATCTTCCTCTCCTCTCCTCTCCCCTCCCTTTTCTACTCTTTTCTCTCTTCTCTCTTCCCCTCTTCCCTTCCTTCCCTCTCCCCTCCCTTCCCCGCCACCTCTCCCCTCCCTTCTCCCGTAATCCGTGGAGAGGCAATGCAGCTTTCGAACTTAGGCTTGCTTTCCCCTGAGGCATTAATAGGTCACGGATATGGCAGAAGTTTGCGGTCTGATTGAATGTGTATGCTCTTGTATGAGAATGTCTATATATATATATATATATATATATATATATATATGAGTGTGTGTATGAGTGTGTGAGTGTGTGTGTGAGTGTGTGTGTGAGTAAGTGAGTGAGTGAGTGAGTGAGTGAGTGAGTGTGTGTGTGCACCTGCTCAAGGCAGAATGAGCGTATTTATATTTCAAAATGAGTGAATTTTGGGCAGTACTTTTTTATTTGTTATCACTATTTATATACTTGTATTCAGGAAACGTCTAAAACTATATACCAGTCAAATCAAGGTGTCGAAGTAATGATGATAATTGCAATACTGTTACTACTACTTACTACTTTAACTACTACCACCACCACTACTACTATTTCTTCTAATACTACTACTACTATTACTACTTCTACTAATTCTACTATTACTACTACTACTGCCACTGATAATAATAATAAAGATAATGATGATAATTATAATGATACTGATAATATTAATGATAATAATGATAATAATAATTATGATAAAAGTAATAGTAATAGTAATAATAATAATAATGTTAATGATAATAATAATGACAATAATGAAAACAATAATGATAATGATGACAATAATAATAAAAGTAAAAGTAACAGTAATAATAATAATAGTAATAATGATAATGATAATAACAATAATAATAATAATGATAATGATAATAATAACATTAATAATGATGATAATATTAACAACAATGATGATAAATAAAAAAGCAAAAAGGTAGCTGTTTGGTGAGAGCTCTCGCTGGCGCCCAGAGCAGGACAAGATGAGGAGAAAGGAGCGAGATATGCAACATGGGTGCAAGTAAAAGGCGCGGGTGTACGCCTACGGCAGGACGAGGCGCGAAGGCAGCGGTAGAAAGCGGAACGGACATTAGACGATGAAAAAAAGAATGAAATAAAGAAATATATATTTTTCTCTCTTTCGTTCTTTCACTGACGATGAAGAAAACAAAATGAAAAAAAAAAAATCTAGTTTTCTTTCTTTCGTTCTTTCACTGACGATGAAGAAAAAACAGAATGAAAAAAAATATATATTTATTTTTCTTTCTTTCTCTTTCTTTCGTTCTTTCACTGTAGTTGTAGCGTCTATTCTTGTGAGTAGGAATGTAAACGCGGAACAACGGTGTCTTCCATTCTTTCTTCTCATGTGTGGCGAGATGATGCAGCACAATGTTAAAGAGAAAGAAAAAAAACAACATTTCATTGACCTTGTTCATGAAAAGTGCGGTACAAGGAACACCTGTTTACACAACGCACGTCAGAAATTAGATACGACTTGAATCAGTAACGATGTATTTCTTTTTTTTGTCATAAAGTAAATTTACATAGTGTATACCTACTATAATTCCCATGTCTATAATTTTCGTTCCTCAGTGTTATGGATATGAGTGTAATTAAAGAACTTACTTGGAGATAACAATTTTAGGTTTTACTTTACTCTTTTTAAGGTACGTATTAGTCTTGTGACGATTAACATGACAAATTTACCAGAAGGATGTTAGTAGAACATGTTAATAACTGTTCAAGTCTCATTAGTATTCTAATGTATGCACTACTTATAAACTATAGAAAAATATGTGATTAGAATAGCTTGACCTTGTTTCATGTGCAGTAGTGTAATAGTGCCACATTTAAAAGACCGAAAATGAGCTCGGTTTTGTTCGATGCATATATTTTATATTCTTTTTTATATCTTTTTATATTTTGGTCTGTTAGCTCGTTTATGTTACGTTTAGCTAGGGGCTAACTGATAAGATAGCCCTTAGCGCTATTTTATCAGTATTTATTAAGGAGTGTTTTCTGATGACAAGCAAACAGGTGTACAGTAAGTACATTTAGTGATTTCAACGCAAGCAAAGGTACTAATCCAAGCGCATTGAAAAGCAAAGGGCGGCGGACTGCGGATTAGTTTTGGAAGCAACCTAAAGCCACGTCAAGCGAAACAAACACCGCTATCTGGCGAGTTGCTGTCACAGAGGGATAGAAACCATTTCGAAGTCCGCACCGGTCGTTAGGGCCGACTGTTATACCTCGTTCTGGACTGGTTATGAATTCATTTGAAAACTTATTTGAATCGTCCATTTCAAAATCTATTTAAATCATTAAACGACAGAATCTTTTACACGGGATTGAGTCATTCACACAAATAAGTCCACTAAGTTTGTCAAAGAAGAGCCACCTGATCGCAGAGAGGTAATAAGTTACCAACGTACAAACTCAAATTCGCACTTGCAAAACTTACCATATTGAACGTAGTAAAGGCGTGCAGTGAACAAGAGAGCACTTGGTTCCACGTGTGTGTTCCTCGAGAGCTGCACCTCGACTGGAGTTGTGAACAGTAACTTTCAGAAAGTAAACCACACCGGACCGATCTTGCTGTCAT